CCGGCCGCGCCACCGCCCCTTCCTGTCATGGCCGCTGCCGGGCTGCGGGAGCGCGGCGAGGCGGTGCGGGCCGGCGCCCCGAGGAGCTGAGGGACCCGCCGGGCGGCGCGGAGCGGGGACGTGCCCCTAGCCCGGAGCCGGCGGTAGGAGGTGACCGAGGGGCGCCCTGCGGGCAGGGGCTGCCCCGGAGAGCGGCCGGCCGGCCCACCGGCGCTGGGACGGGTCGGGATGCGGGGGACGGGGCCAGAGCCCCGTTAGTAGCCTCCGCCGGGGGAAATGGCGGGAGAGCCGCTTGTGCCGGGCGGCCTCGGGCACGGCGGGGTGTCTCGGGGCGGTGTTTCGGCGTGTGCAGCCCGGGAGGGGAGTTTTCCGGAGGGAAAAACTATCGCGGAGCGGCCCGTCCGGGTCGGAGCCGGCGGGCGCCTCGGAGGGACGCGTCCCAAGTTGGAGGAAAGAAGGTTCCCGGGGAGAAGGAAGGGAAGTGCTATCGTGTTGCTTTTGGTTTCCTTGTAGATAACCGCCGAGGTACCTGCTTTCCACTGCTTTAACATCCCCTTGGGGTGAGCTGGCCGGCAGCATGCCTGCCACCGAGAACACCTCCAAACTTTTGCTGGTCCTTGTTTCGCTGCTGCTGGTGCTGCCAGGAGTTGAAGCCCTGGACGCGGGAGATACCATCGCCTTCCTAGTAGGCCTCGCTGTCAGCGTCGTCGGATTCTGCGCCTGCCTCGGCTTGTACGCAAGGAAAAGGAATGGACTGCAGTGATTTCAAGAAGATGCTCAGATGAAGTGAATTTCCAAACACAACATGGGGTTGAGATCTGGTGTGTAAAACTGAGCTTTGGTTCTGGATAACTTTCAAAAAACGTGTAGTAGATATTTCTGCAAACCCCTCTTACTGTGCTTAAATATTGCCTTAGAGAAGGGTAAGGCCTTTTTGGGAATGGGGAAGGAAAACCACAGAGTGGTTCACAGTTGATAAATGGAACATGTGTGGGAGACCGCCAACAAGTTCCACAGTTTTGGTTTCAAGGGTTAATCAGGAGGAAGCAGCTATTAATCTTCCAGTCAGGATGACAGAGCTTTGGAAGCTCTCCTAACTAGGTAACTAGGGAGCAGACTGCTTTGACTTGTGTGCATGTGCTCACATTCTTTGTAATGACAGTTAACACCTAACAGCTCACTACTGCTGTCACAGGGATGAGACTTCAGAGAACTAAGCAAACATGCAAAATGTTTTTTTTCTTATGTACATTTATTTTAGAATGTCCCTCTCCTGTAGCCTGTGTTTTTGTTACCAAGTAGATACACGTAAGAGTGGGACCACTATTTTTCTTTATACATATAGGGCTACACAAATCAGATTAAGGATGTGGTTTTTGTCTCTTGTTTATTTTTTGCACTCCACTCTCCTTTAGACATACCAGGTTGAAGCTTATTTCTTTTGGTGTATTTTTTCCCCCCAAAACCTTATGTCTTATTGTGAGGAATTACATGTAGTATTTCTGCATTAGGGGGTTATTAGAATTATAACAAGACAGTTGTGCACATGTTTCTTATGCAATATGGAAAGAACATGTTTTGTAAAAATCATGGATTTAGTCAATAGGTCAGTTGTTCTCAAATGTCTTCCTCATGACAAACTTGTGTTGCTAGCTAAACATTTAGGCTTCTTACCTAATCAATGCATATGAGTTCCATAGAAGATTAGGACAACAACCAAAGTAAAAAATCCTGAGGCAAAATGGGAAATGTAATTTGTCTTATTCTGTTCGTGCTCAGTCAGATTGTATGGTGTATGGTTGAAAGACTCAGTAGCATATCCAGGCCCTGTTTCTTTCTTTAAGTACCAAAGGTGAATAGGCACAGCCAAGAATGTCTACCACAGGTCCTTCTGGCTGGTTAGTGTTTTAGCTGTCCCAGGAGAGACGAGGAGAACAGTCTGTAACAGCAGCAGAATAAGGAGCATAGGAAGGTGAACTCTTCATAGAATTTCTTTCTGGTCTTGTGCTGCGGTCGCTGCCACTTTTGCTAAAAATCTTGTCTCTTATCTTTCAGAGCTGGGGAAAAAGGTGAAATGTGATGCAGAGCTATGTATTTGGATACTATTCCTCCCCTTCCTCTGTAAGTGTCTCTGTTCAGCAGAGCACAGAGCAATGGCTAGGAGAGTCCTTGGGCAGGTCTTCTATAAGTAATTGGGTGGGCAGATCACGTTCTCCAAATTCTAGGATTTCTGTATTTATATGCCATTTGTGGCTGGTTTCCCTTCTCTCTCCAGCCTCTAAGGAGACAGAAGCCCTTGTTATTTCAGTCTTGCAATTTATGTCCCTCTGTCATGGTTGATAGAGGAAGGTAAAACGAAAGCTTCCAAAATTGTGTGGGGTTGAAACTGTAGGACTCAACCCAGCAAGCCCCAAGAATGTAAGTTTCTGCTCTCAAGTTACGGGAATAATAATGAGTCCCAAAGTTACTCTGGTGAGATCTAAGTCTTGCCAGGTAGCTCTTCTTGTACCCTTTTTGTGACTTCCAAAAGGCAGATAGGGCCATGGTGCACAATTAATACCTAGAAATAAAACTTACAGGTTTAAGAGGAGCTTCAGACAGTAGTGTCAGCTTAGAACGCTGCCCAGCAGCAGGTGATCCTGTATGTGATTACTCAACTGGGTGAATGGAAGCACATATCAAGTGTGATCTTCCATGTTCCTGTTTGGTTAAACCATTACCCTTTAAAAAAAATAAACAAACAAAAAAACCCTCCTCAGTTGACTTTGTATTTCCCAAAATTCAAGTGGTTTGTCAATTTCTTAGCAGAATATTAAATATTGCTCTTTCAGTAGAATAAATGTTATCACAAGCAGTTTTTCGCAGACTCCTTTAACTTCACTTTGGATAAGATCCCTGGCAATAGTTTCACAGAATTGTGCAACAGTTTCACTGCAGCAGAATAAAATTTTAGCAGAGCAATTAGGGTCAGGCATAGGGATATGAGGAAGTGTTTTTTGCCTAAAGCTGTATGTACTTCATTGAAAGGTGTTTGCACAGCGTAATGGCATTGTTTCCTGGACTCTGACGGAAGCTTTTCTGTTAAAAGACTTGGATTTGTCAATGACTTGAGTGTAAAATCGGATACCCCTGTTTTTCTTCTGTCTTAATAAACTCACATATGATTTGTCATCAGTTTGATGAAGTAGTTCTTATGAAAAGAAAAACAGAGATGACAGAAATTACTGAAACAGCTGAAATTCCTTATATTAAATACTATTTTCTTACATACTTTGCATATGGTACAAACTTGCTTATGCTCTTACATACTTTGCTTATGCTCTACAAACTAATTTGGCAAACAAAAGTTGAACTTTTGTACAGTAAGTGTACTTCTCTTGGTCCTATTACTTGTATACGTAAACATTTGCTTGTTTCAGTACCAGTTACTTCAGAACACTTTGAAGGGGCTGGTCCCCTGGCTTGGAAACTGGCCGCTTGCAGTTGCAAAGAAGCCTGTTTGTCTGGTACAAGGGAAACTTGAAACATTTCTTTTGACTGTGAATTTTCAACGTACTATTATGTAGTTGCCTTTATACCAGAAAAGCCATTTATGGCACTCTTCTAGCTGGAGACCCGAAGATATAAAGGACCATTTTCTTTCTTTTCTAAAGAAAAATTATGTTCCAGTGCTTTATAGTTATTTGAATGATACATTTATTTTATTTTTTTTAAGACTTCAAAAGAGCTTGTTTTATACCAGCATTTTAAGAAAACAGGGTTCTAGCTCTTTTGGGACTTCAGATTAGTGCACAAAGCAGTTCACTTTGTACACTAAGCTAATGCCATTAGTGGCTGTCTTCAGAGCAGAAGGCACAAACAGCCTGGCAATGCCCACCTCTTTACAAACACAACCTACCCTCTAATTAGGGCAAGAAAGCTGCAAGTCAGGAACGAGCAGCTTTTGACTGCTGTGATTTCCATCTGCTATAACGATGGCGTAGCTCAAAACCAGCCATCCTACCAACACGTATCAGTCTGTGTACAGTCCTTCTGTGACTGGACAAACGTCCTTTGCTCCTCCTGGGGTACCTTCCAAGTGCTGCACACCAGCAAGGTGTCACCATTCTGCTGGGTACAGCAGTACCTGGGACGGGAATACAAATAATTCATGCATTTACTCATACACTTGCCTCTCTGGGTGCATTTAAACTGATAAACCACTGCTGTGAACCATTCTCCCATTCATAGAAGTCCTGCTGCTGGTGGTGATGCTGATTTAAGGCTATCGTGAGACTTGGTGATTCTATGGCGTCTTCCATCTGAGAATCTTTATGTGCTCACAGATATTAATGTTTGCATCCCTGTCGTACCCTTTGATGAGTGGGACAAGTGGAAAGAGAGTCTGTGACTTGCGATGGTGTCACAGGAAGCAGGTGGTATCTCCGGGAAGGTCACTGAGATTTCTGGAGCGCGTTGTGCTCGTGGTTCTCAGCCACCATGCCCCTGCCACAAGAGCTGTCCTCGGGCTACCCAGAGACTCTGTGTACTGACTAGACACAGTCTGAAGCTCTGGTTCCTCTTTGCACAAAGCTGTTTATATAAGCTCTGTGAGAAGGGAGCAGGGAGTTGAGTTCAGCATTGATAATAAGGTAAAACATGACTAAATGGATGCACCGTAATAGGTCTGTTACCATGGTAAATGCTCTAATTATTATACTACAAAAGTAACCTTTCCGTTCATTTTTTACATCTGATGAAAGGTTTGGCAGATCTAAACTGATGCAATGGCAAGAGATTGTTAGGAGTAGTGGAAAGGAGGGCTTGGATCTGCTTGTCCTCCCAGTTTCCACTTAAACAAATTGTTAGTAAATGATCTGAAGTCAACAGAAAGTGTGGGTTGTTCACCAGATTAGAAAAATAAGAACTAATTCAGAACCAAATGCAGAAAAACATATTGGGTGAGATTTGATGTCACTAATGTTGCACAGGACCCAAACCATTTAATTCCTGCTGAAATCAATCTTCAAAACTTTTAAGGGACAAGTTTTTAATATACTAGATACTGACTGACAAAACCACACTGACAAGTGTTAAATTGTTAAAGAATGTAACCAGGTTTGAAATTATGAAAGTTTTCAGTTCACGTGAATACACAGTAGCACCCAAATACTACATTTCCAATATTCAGAAAGCAAGCTTTCCAGCAAGCAAGCTGGAATTTACATACCAAGCTACTTATGGTAAATACCATAAAAGCACATCTATATTGAACTAAAAATAAAAGAGAAAAAATATATATAGATAATAAAACATTTCTAGATGTTGTGCTGGTCTCAGCAGCAGTTTGATCATAATGAATACATGGAAGACTGTCGCACTGAGGTGCAGACGCACTAGACAGGCAGCACAGCCTGTTGTTTCTGGATCATTCATCTGATCAGATCAGAACAGAGATTTTAATGAGAAAAACAAAATACGCCTTTTAAGTGCTAAGCAAAGGGACCCACATAACCACTCAGTGTAAGTGAGGGCCTGAAAGTGGAGTGGCCTCCAGCAGACCTGGAGTTGCAACCATTAGAGTCAGGGAAGAAAGAACTGTGCCTTCAATTAACTCCAGAACTGTTCAAGGATATTTTGTGCCAACCTTTTTCTGAAACCAGATGGCTATGGAAATTACACAGTCAATACCTGCACTTATGTCTCAGACTGTAACCTAACTTTGTAAGTCACATGGTAGCAGTTTTAAACTTCATTTAAATCTATTCAAATGATCTGAAGGATTAGCAGAAATCATGTTGACTCATTTTTCCTTGAAAACACATATTTATTTCAGTGCCTGCATGAATAGCAAGGAACAATTATGCCTTTAAAAAGTTTGATCTTTTCAGAAATGCCATTTTTGGTCAACTTCCAAAAGTCTATCTGAGATTGAGACCCCACCTGGAGTACTGCGTCCAGCTCTGGAGCCCTCAGCACAGGAAGGACATGGACCTGTTGGAGTGGGTCCAGAGGAGGGGCATGAAGATGATCAGAGGGTTGGAGGACCTCTCCTATGAGGACAGGCTGAGAGGGTTGGGGTTGTTCAGCCTGGAGAAGAGAAGGCTCTGGAGAGACCTTATAGCAGCCTTCCAGTACCTAAAGAAGGCCTACAGGAGAGATGGGGACAGACTTTTTAGCAGGGCCTGTTGTGATAGGACAAGGGGTAATGGCTTTAAACTAAAAGAGAGAAGATTTAGACTAGATATAACGAAAACATTTTTTACAATGAGGGTGGTGAAACACTGGAACAAATTACTCAGAGAGGTGGTAGATGCCCCATCTCTGGAAACATTCAAGGTCAGGTTGGATGGGGCTCTGAGCAACCTGATCTAGTTGAAGATGTCTCTGTTCTTTGCAGGGGAGGTTGGACTAGATGACCTTTAAAGGTCCCTCCCAACCCAAACGATTGTATGGTTCTAGGATTCTATGTTTGATTTGGAGACAGCATATCATCTATAGAGACTATAGTCTATATCTACTTAAAAAAAAAAAAAAGTCCTTTTTCATAAAAAGTAATATTGCAATGGGTCTTACCTAAGTCACTTTTCGTCTCACCATAAAAATTAAAGATGTTGACCATATATCTGGAGCAGTTGCCAATAAGAAACCAGTATTCAGCAATAAATGTCACACAGTCATATTTTTCACTCTATTGTATTTGCAGAAAGAAAACATAAATCCCAGAAACAATTATACATTAAAAAAGGCAAAAAGTGCTTTTCCAAGAAGAAGTTGGTGTTATCTAGTAATAATTATGGCCCTGGTGAAAATCTCAGTGAAGTCAGCTCAAAAAATTTTATTGTCCTAAAATTAAATGAAGCTCTCCTAAAAAGGAGTGACCAAACTGTGTCTTTTGAAGACCATGCAACTTTGCCACAACCATCTCCCATGCCAGGGTTATGGCAGCAGGTTGTCCTGGTACAAGGGATGCTGGACAACCTTAAATCCTGTCTGGGAAATGACAGACAGCTGGGTCTCCCCCGGTGCCAAATGCATGCCCAGGTCACTGCTGCCCTCGCTCCATGGAGCCATCTCCAGCTGTGACGAAAGTCAGAGAGGTGATCAGGTATTTGTTTAGACATTCAGGAATAGCTGTGTGACTTACACATCTTCAACCTTCTTCCGTGCCAGATTTCACATTTCAAAATTTAGTCTTGTATGTTACAATTTATTTTTAAAAACCCTGTATATAACCTGGAATGTGCGTGGGCTGGGGTGTGTGCTTGCATGGAGAGGAGTAGGAAAGCAGAGGTCACTCTGTCAGCTGAAAGGGTATTTCTAAATTGTCCATACACAACAGCGGAAAAAAGAAATAATCTTTGGGAAGAGACCAAGCCAGGAAATGTACAAGGTGACCTCCAGAGGTCCTTTCCAACCTAATTTACTGTATGATTCTATGAAATCCTAGTCATAAATGGGATGCATAAACAGCAGCTCAATTCACTCATATCTTTATGGCAAACAAGGATATATTTGTGGTGAACAAATCTAATCACAGTGTGAGCCCATAGGGAACCTGACCGTAAAAGCTGTGAGGCTGTTCAGTCATCATGTAAGACCACAGGGAAACCAGATGTACCAGGATTCTCCCACTGTGTCTAGTGAAACTCAATCCCTGAGGCATTAAAAGGTTATGGAAAAAAGGGAGCAAATACAGCATATGTACACTAATCCTCTTTTCAGAGTGGGATTTTTAGAGGTGGGCTTATGGGGCTAGTACTGTACTCCAAATGGAATTCAAGTCCTTCTGTGCAAAGCCCCAAATGCAAATTATCTCAACTCCTGACCAAGTCAACCTTTTGAAAATATTAAGATTTGACAGGCTGTGTTGCATGTGGAGTTCCCATTGGCATCAGTGGGGGTTTAGGACAAGGTCAAAGACAAAATACAGGTTTGGATGCAGTAGCTACGTCGATAGGATGGAGGGGTCCCCGTCACTTGACCACTAGTGCACCTTGCACCAGATGGTGCTCATGGGGAACTGCAGGCACATTAGGCTCCATCCCTATCTCTTTCCCTAGGAAAACATTAGCTGAATTATTTACTGTGTTAACTGAATGCCAAATTTTCATCTGGTTAAAAACCAGCCTGAAGTTGCTGAAATCAGTGCAGTCATCCTGATTTAAATTCATTTGGAACAGAAATCACAAGAG